AAAATAGTCTAAAATATACATTTAGGGAGGGTTTCGAAAAATATTTTAACAAATTTTGATAAAAATTGATGAAATATGTGATTATTTCTTTCGTGTGCAATTACAAATAGGAGGAATAATTATTTGTTGAAGATTTTTAATCAAAAAAAAAAGTGCGTAACTAGAGCATATTGGAGGCCAATATTCAGTCCAACGCCTACGAAATCCCTTTCAGATGGAGGTGGCTACGCACGATGTCCGTGAAGACACGTCCTCAATATAAGGGTTGTGCTACTTGTACATTATGGCATCCAGGGAAGGAAAATAGGAAAGAGGAAATTCATAACAATAAAGTCAACCTCTACGCGAAATTTGGATCTCAAAGAGGAGCCCTGCTCCCTCCCTCACAATGACCCAACTAACTTACAATTGAAGAAGGTGATTGTACTTTTAGAACATCTTTGTCCCCCATTTTGACTTTCTCCTCCTCGTGGATTGTACATTTAGTGCGGTTTTGCCCCTAGATTTAAATCCCTCGCCCTCACGGCCTCACCTCGCAACTCCTCTGGCACGAAGCTTCCACAATCGCTCTCTGTAAAAATAAAATATTATCTCTTAATTACTCACTCTCAACACATGCTTCTAAAATCATTTCTTTCCATTCAAATTTATAATAATCAGATTCATATTCCATGGCTCGAGCTCGAAGGGTCATTCAAAGAGTGCTCCACCGGATTTTCTGGTACTCTTCCTTACATATGCATACACGCACATTGTGTTCTCATGCAGATCGATTCAATTATTACCGTTGCTTAGGATAGTGAATGCTGAGATTATTTTTCCCCCTTTGATTAGCTACTTTTCACCTATTTATCAAAAATGTGTTCTATACGGTAACATTTGACTGTTTTCTTGTTACTTGTTTCGGCATTATTTATTAATGGATGTCTCAATCCATTGATGCACATTTTTTTTTGAATTGTTCCCTTGGCCTAGTGATTATTAGTGGTTACTTTTACATATATGTATACATTAGGAATTGAATACTGTAAGATTGATTTTAATAATTGGATTCAAACTATTACTATTTTTTCTATTCCTGTTCATTTATTGGAGAGCCACGAGTAATTTAGTATATAGTTGGGAGGAAGTCGCACTTCTTAGTGGAAGAGTTGGCAATGGGTTGAGAACTGGCTAGTGGCGATCACCATTAGATGATGGAGTATATTTGAAGAGGATGTTTGATAGTGATGACGATTCAGGAGTCATCCTCTGGGGCTTGGTTTATGGATACATATATTGGGTGTATAGTTAACGGAAATAATTAGATTACTAACCAATTCATTGGTATTTTCGTAGGCTGGAATCAAGGTTTTGGGATAAATATTAGATGTACACAGCAAGGAAATTAAATATGATTGCTTTTCTTATCAAACTCTCCTGTTTCTAAATATCATTGGGATGGAAAGTTATTTTATAGAGAAAAAAAGTTTTCAATCATTTGAAGTTTCAGAAATATAGGAATTCTAGAAGATCTCTCTCTAAATTTCAGAAGTTATGCATGGACCTTGGAAACAAATTTGTTTGTTTTGAGAAGATTTTCATAATATTTAGGTTCTCTCATTCCCGACCATTTTCTTTCGTAAGAAATAGAAGTATATTGACTTCGGGATGGAAAATGTATATTGGTGAAGATAATGTTGGAACCCATGAAGACAATAAATAATTATTATTATTATTAATTTTTTTCATATTTTAGTATTTTTTCAATTACACTTTCAGCTTCTTAAACTTTCTGGTTTTATGATTTATATGCTAGGTCATAACTGGAGCTGTTTATGAGCTTTTTCTTTGGGGATTCTTTTTGGCTACATTTCTCATCCATGTTAGAAGTTGGCAAACATGATATTGTATCTAGAATTTGAAAAAATATGGAGGAGAAAAAGGATGATATGGGGCTTGATAGACCATCTCCTAATACCCCATGGTGTCAATCTGGTCTTACTGAGAAACTGCAGCTGATTTCTCTGAGTTCTTCAGAAGAAACCTCAAATTCTAATGGATTGAGAACTGAACAAGACCTTGGGAGTTCAGCATTTCTGAGAGCATCGCAGACCCTGTGGGACACTGGAAAGCTTGCTGAACCGATTCCTGATGGTTTCTATTTTGTAACTCCTGTAAGTTTATTAAACTACTATTAATATGTAGCAAGATAGTCTCAATTTTATTTGACTATTTTCTATAATGGGACATGTCAATTTAATTAGGATTTATGTGGATAAAGGACTTGTTTTAAATATTCAACTTTTACTGTTTGTTCTGCTCTAGTTTTTATTCTTTCTCTCTGTGTGGATTTCCCCCCAAAAGGAAATGTTGGTTTATGGACTCCTATTTGTTAGAAACTTTAACCATGCAATTTCTAGAGATTTTCGTTCTTCCTTTCTATCTTTTTTAAAAATCATATGTGATGATGTTTGGATTTCAGTGTTTGACATTTAGTGTCGACTAAAATTCTCTCTCTTCTGAGTTGTGCATTATTTTCTGCCCTCAGTGTATACATTAAAATCCTGTACCAACTTCTGGTTCCATGAAATGATGGTCTTCAAAGTTGTACTGTTATGATGGAGTTTACTTGTAGCAGTTTTAGTTGCTGTATGATGTTCCATGTGCTGTAGGAAAGAAGATTCAAGGAGCTTTTTGACACTATTCCCTCTTTAGATGAGCTTTATACTTTGGAGACAGAGGGGCTCAGGCCCAATGTGATTATTGTTGACACACATAAAGATAAGAAGCTTTCCATGTTGAAGCAGCTGGCAGTCACTTTGGTGAAGGGATTGAATTCAAGTCCTACTGCCATGATCAAGAAAATAGCTGGATTGGTGCGCTCTCCTGGTACCTTTGTTTTCTAATTCTTTCATTTCGGTGCATAATTTTCTCTCTTTATTTTTGAAGTTATTTTTTTAAAGATGAGGATGCTTCTTCTCCTCCTTTCTTAAACTTCTTGTTCCTATCTTTTTTCTTCGGTATTGAATCTGATATACCATTTATTTTGTTTAATGTAATTGTTACCAGATTACTGATAAAGAAATTGCATGGATTACTAGTGACTGAAGTTTTAACAATTCAAAATATGCCTAACTCATCAAAGTAGTAAAAGGTGCTATGAATTATCATTTTTATGCTTACAGGGGAGGAAGATCATTAGGTTTATGTCACGATTTGAATCATAAAAGGCTAACTGGGCTTATTAACCGGAGATTATATAATTATATAAAGCCGTGATTTGCATCAGCTAAATGTTTCACTGAATGTTCTGGATCCATTCTAGGCATAATGAGGATCCGGACATGATCACCCCGAATGAAGTAGTGGTGAACTGAAACTGGTTTGACTAATGCTTTCTTGGAAGAGAAGGATATGTGGTGTTTGATTGAGATCATATATCAAAGAGTAGAAAAATGATGAGTTTTAAGAAGATTGTCCACAATATCAGAGACTGTACCAATGCATTTAGATTTTCTTGAGTACACGGTGCCTTCAGGTGTGCCATTATTACATTTTTCTCTTGGATTAGGGGAAAAATAATTGAAAGTATTAAATGCCAAAATGAGTTGATGCTTGATTTATTTATTTAATGTTTTGGAAAGGTACATAATTGTTGTCATGTTGTCTTCTTCTGTATTGTTCAAAAGAAAAGGAAAAGAATAAAAAATATTTGGCACTCGTTTTGTTTTATGTGTTGCCTTTTACTTTAATATTTAGTATTTTATACTGTGTTTTTCCGCATTTAAACTTCAGTAGTTGTTTCTCTGTTCAAGTTATTATAGTGCAGTTGAGGAATAATTCCTCTCATTTTTATCTTGTTTTTCTAATCTTTTATGCATGTTTGGGAAGTGATTAAATTAATATTTAAACGATTATAAGCTGTAGGTCCTACATAATGTGTTGATGATAAGTGGGTAGTAGTTGCGAGTCTTAAGAAACGTGTGGATAAAAACTATATTTGACCAAAAGTGATTAACAATTAATCACTTTCCTACCATGTTGTACTAAATCATACAAATGGTTTCATCTTTTATTATCCTAGTTAGCCTGTAGAAATCTAGCACGTGGCTGTTTGATTTTATTAGAAGTTGAAAGCAAGAAGTATGTAGTTTCAAAATGCTTAGCAAGTCATGAAATACAGAAGGGTGTTTACTGCACCAATAAGCTATAACTAACAGTCTTAGTGCATCAAGAAATTAAGGTTTTTGGCTTTTGACTGATTGTTTTTTTTTTCAGGTTTGTGACTTTCACAAGAAACCAAAATTTGGTTTGGATCACGTAGAAGGTGCACTTGAAGAAGTTTCCCATGCATTGGATAATCATGGTATCCATATGCTGGGTCACATCAAGCATGGTTCATGTCATTCTCGGGCAATTTTATTCAAAGTTCTTGCTAATACTCTAGGTCTTGATAGTAGGCTCATGGTGGTAAGTTTTTGATTTCTTTGGAGTTACATATAAAGTTCTTTTCCCTTGTCCTATGATTGTCAATAAGATGGTTTCCAATCAGTGGACTATTAATGTGAAATCTCAGTACATTTCGGCTATTGGCCAATATCTTTGTTTTTATTTGTCCTTTTGCCCTTTTTCTTTCCCTGTTCTCAGGGTTTACCTAGAGGAGTAATGGAACAAGCAGATTCATTCAAGCACATGTCTGTCATAGTTGTTTTGAATTCTGTAGAATTCTTGGTTGATCTTGTGCATTTTCCGGGCAAGCTGATACCAAGGTCTGCAAAGGCATTTTTTCTCACTCATCTCTCTACGGGTGAGAGTGACTCTGCAGAAAATAACTCATATGATTCACCTACTGAACCAAGCAGTCCTCTCTGTAGCATTTCAGATCGAGCAGATGTTGAAGGGTAAGAACCTGTGTTTTAAGCTGTATAATCTGGGGCTTTGGAAACAACAACTCACTGGCTTCAATACGAGGCACTTAGGTTTAAGATTTGTTTCTTTTCTCTAACCCTCTGAGAATCTGGTAACTCATTCTTCAGACCTCATATCATTATAAGGTTGAAACAATTATGAATACTTGCAGTTCATCTTTGAGGACAATATCAATGCAATAAAAAAAACCTTGAATCCTGATGGATCATACACAAATGAAACAATGATATTTGTATTTAAGTGGAACCGTGTTTAAATGGTTGTTTTTATTCTTTATATTTGTGTAGGCTTTTAGCTTTAACTAGAAAGATTAAGTATTCTAGTTTTGTAGTCCAACTAATAAAACCTGTTCTTACAGTTTACCCCACAGTGAACCAAATGTAACAAATTCGTTTTGGCGGCGCAGCCGGAAGAAAGGCATTGCTGAACAAAGGACAGCCAGTTCAAGGTTTTATTTATATTTACATGATAACTTTTTCTTTTTCTTTTTTTTTTTTAAAATGCTATATAACTGGTAGTCATAATTCTGATAGAAAGTTCTAGTGTGAGACTTGTAATTGGAATCATGTGGAAAAAGGTTGGAATGATCTAAAGTTTGCAGTACTTCTCAAAAACTTTGATATTTGTAATCTACCTGAGCTTGATCCAAGAGGAAAAACCCATATTGTTAAGTTGTAGAGACAGATCTCAATGACTACAAGAAAAGTGGGAAAAATCCATGTCATTTATCGGACTTTTGATTTCTTTTTGAGGATATATACCTATGTCGTTCTTATTCAGTCATCTATAAAAGTAACAAACCATTGTGCACTTGATATGTTAATTACACGAGAAAGGCACCAAACATTAGACTTAAAGGAATGCTTTGCCTTTTATTACCATGACGATGTTTTGCAAGTTCACAAACTTCACAATTCATGTACATTTATTTGCTTAAACAATCTAGGAAACAACTTTTTCAAATGGGTAAATGGAGGGTGACCCTATCTTTTATGCCAAAGCCGGATTTGATCTTTATTCTCACAAGTCCCAGAGGGCGCTAGGAGAACCAATTTGCTATGTTTCATAGGTGGTTGAAGAAGGTAGAGTCCATTCCTCTCCTCAGTATGACCTATCATCCTTTCTATTAGCCTCTCCTGAAAAATACCCAAAGAAGGTGTGAAGAGGACATTGCAATTCAGTTCATTTTTCACTTTTTTAATGGATAGCAAATTAAGGACAGATTTGGTACATGTAAGACAGATTTTAGGCATAAACTAGATGAAATGTGTATAGTTCCTTGACCAACTATAGAATGGAAAGTCCCATCAGCAATTTTAATTTTTTCTTTACCAAAATAAGTGGAATAAATTGAAAATAACCTGGAATCACTAGTCAGATGATTGGAGGCACCTGAATCTACGATCCAAGTGTAAGACGAATGACAATTAGAGGCACTAAGGGCTTGGATATTATGAGTTTGGCCAAAGGAACAAGAAGGATTTTTCAGTCCTTGGGCAAGGACTTGTATTTTCCAGCTGATTGAGAAGATTCTTTAGCTTTCCAATATATTCCATTCTAAGCCTAGTTCTAGTAGTTGGTGCTTTTTGTAAGGCTCCAATATTAGCAGCAGCTTGATAGGCTTGTCCATTTCTATTATTCGGTTTCCCTCCTTTAGGGGCTAAATGTGGATTAAGTTTCCAGCACTTATCCCTAGTGTGCCAAAGTTAATTACAATAGTCAAGCCACGGTTTTTCGTTAGTCTTCTTCACTTCAGTTTTTGGCATCCCCAAGATTGAAGCTGAATTATTTATGGCAGCAGCTAGAGCATATTTATTAGCTGCATTAGATTTTCCATGCTAACAGAATTTTGCCGCATAACATTTCTTCTACTCGCTTATCCTTTCACATAAGCATGGACCTCGTTTAAAGATTGAAGAGGATCCTTGCTCAATATTTGACCTCTCACTTGATCAAGTTCTGGATTAAGGCCAGCAAGCAAATCAAAAACTTTTTCAAACTCCATAAATTTCCTCAACTTCACACCATCTCCAGCAGACTCCATATCTATAGCCTGATACATATCCAATTCCAGCCGTAAACATCTCATAGTATTATAATGTTGAGTAACAGTCAAAGTACCTTGTCTGATACAGTTTGTCTGTACAGCAACCCCAATTTTTTAGTAACTCCAAGTTACTGCATCCCAAATTTCTTTTGCTGTTGTAGAAGCCCCAAACCTTTACTGATTTCAGATTTCAATGAGTTTAACAACCGAGACATAACAGTTGAGTTCTCGCTTCCCATGTGGCATATTTAGGATTTGTCTCCTTTGGCTCTGTGATTGCTCCAGTAACACAATCCGTCTTGCTTCTGCTTTAGAGAAATCTTTTTGGAGATTGGGACTACTCAAGAAAATTAGTACCACCAGGTTTTGCCAATTTGAAGGGTAGGATTATCATTCTGAAAAGGAGAAATGTTTGAACGGGTATGTGGAGTTTTTTCAAAAGATGATTAGTCTGACATTTCTGTTTGTGAATGGAATGAACAGGGGCTGTAATTCCAAAAAAAATATTCTGCAGTAACAATGGAAGAAAAAAAAATACTGCAAGAAAAAATAGTATAATAGAGAGGAAATTTTGAGAACCCTAACAAGGATCTGATACCATGTTACAACTCATAGTGAATTGTGAGAATGCATACATAGCTTTTCCATCTGCTGTGTTGCATATTTATACATAACTTTCCAACTACAGACCTAAGAAAGGAAATAAATCCCTGATTTTAGGGACAGAAAGTAAATCCCAGATTTTAGGAATTTTTATAATAATCTTGAAATCTTCAACAATATTTTCTTTCCATTAATAATCTCACACTTTCAGATTTTTCCATGCAATTTAGATTTTTTCCTCGTTTTTTGTGTCGATTTTCAATTTTTAAATTGCTTTTCCAGTCCTGAGCATCCTTTCTTTCAAGGACATGGGAGATCTTTGCTTGGTGGTTGTAGGGTTTCCTTCGGAGAGCACAACAACGATCTCAATGCATCAAGGTTCTTACTTTTCTATCATTCAATTTTCTCAATGTTTTTGTTTTTGACGCAATATGCATTTGAAAACAGTAGATTATGGTCCATGCTGATAACACGTGTCCTTTTTCTATAGGGTGCTTTCTTACAACCATGATGTCTTAAATTTAACACTTTTTTGAATTCAGTCCTATGATATTGATACTGCCTTTTCTAATACATTCTTTTGGTTTTATTTGCATATTCTGCTTCGTAGAATTCAGTTGTGGATTTTTTTATTATTTTTTATTTTTGTGGAAAGCTGAAATTTTCCCAACTCTATCAGCGTTCTTCAATTGTTATATGAATTTATAATTCAAGGGGAATTATTATCCGTTGGGAGTTTATGTCGTGATTGTTTTATGGCCTTTACAGAGTAGGACTAAGTACCTTCTTTGGGTAAAGGCTACAGGAGCCTGGAAGAATCTGTTAAATTTGGTGAAGCGTGGCGTGGCCTTGAGAATAAGTTCTTCTTTGACACGTGACTAGAAAAAAAATGTGTTTAGTTTGCAACTTGGCTTATGTGTCTCTTTAATATCTTTGGAAAGATTGTTCATGATAACTATAATATTTGCCTTGGTCTTGAAGGCTGTGGAAAAGTTATGAGATAATACTGAAGAAAACAATCTGGGTATCGTTATTATGAAAAACCTCATCATTTGATGTTACCAAAATAAACATATCTTGAGATTTAATTGACATTTCTCTCGTTCAGTATTGTAGCATTTAAGAACACAGTCAATTATTTATTCTCTTTGTTATTTCCTATCTACTTTTTTCTTCAATTTTGTTCTTGTTTGCCATATGCGGTAGGAAAATCTGCTTTCTAATGCTATTATTGCCTTTCGTTTTGTTGACCAACTAAGGTCTGCTGGTACATCTCCAGTATATGCCCGTAGGAGAAGACGGCGTTGTATTAGCATGATACCGGAGATTGGCGATGATATTGTAAGGTGGTTGACTCTATTAAAACTTATTATGCTTTTTTCAAGATTTTATTTCTATGGTGGAAGTTAAAGCCTGAAGATATTCATTTGAAAATGGAAATAGAAATTGAATTTGTGTCAGCATTAGTTCATCCTCATTTTGTTTGAGATTTGTTTTTTTTTTTTTTTTTTTCCCCTTCTAATCCACTGTACAATGAAATAATTTATAAGCATCTTGGTTTCCATTATTTAGTTGATGTTGGGCAAGTTCCAATACTATCCTGCACATGCAACCTTCTATTGCAAGTGAAGAGGTGAGTTGCATAAGTTGCAACTCTCGTGTAACCAATAACTAAGAATGAGGTGAGTGGTGGCATAAACATGAACAAAGTGCAACTTTGGGACAAATAAAGGGGAAATAATAATCAATGATGAATAACTCTTAAGGGATTTTACCAATATGTTCCTTAGCAACCTAGCTAAGCTCTAATACCCTATTAAATAACTACCTAACATAATATCTTTAAAGAGTAATGCTATTTATCATGTTACAATACCAGTCTGGGTGGTACTAATTGTCATTAAATGAAATATATAATAAATGAATCACATAATATTACATTTAATTGAATCTGTCACATAATACCACGTAAACTAATACTCTTACACCACTGGTGCTATATAGCATTATTCATCTTTAAATTCCACATACACAATTAATTTATTGTTTTTAAGATCTTCAACAGTAGACAATTAATCAATCGATTGTATCCATGATATGGAGTTTTCCTTCCGTTTATGCTCCTATTTCCTGCCTTGTTTCATTACACCGTGTTAAGGGCTTGGTTGTAAAATCCTACATTTGTCCTCCCTTTTGATCGAGGGTCCCATCACTTCTTGACGTGGATTACATGCTGATGTAGCTTGCACCACATGTTTTTCTCATGACCTGGTTGCAATAAAGTCTATATAAATACGTTTGGTAGTTCTACCTGCTTTTTTGGTTTATATAACATTGATAGTGAGCTTGAATCAAGGGCTGTTCGAGCGATGAATGAAACTCTGAAGAAAAATCGTCTTCCCCAGGAACAAGTAAATTCAACACATTCTACGAGTGAAAAAGATGATAGTTCAGATATACAAGAAAGTGTATGTTCTTTTCTCTGCTCTTTTCTTGGAAGAATGAGAGAGAAATCCTGCACATAATTCTTTAGTGCTACAGTATTTGTTTCTCTTTTAATTCACAAATTGATGTCTTGTTTTTCATTCGAGTCAAATTTTACTTAGAAGTTGTTTCTTACACCAGGCAATCTTTTGTCTGTCTAGTTTACAAATCAATTTTTTTCCCTTTACATGATGAGCTAGAATGTGGTCCTACTAATTTTTTATTTTTATTTTTTTTGCAATTGAGAGCGCTCAAATTATTTTGCATCCAGACAGTTTGTTCAAGTCCACTTGAACAATTTTAAGCTTTCAGAAATTCGTTTGGTGTTAATATCTGTTGTCAAATTATGTTGTTTCATTCTTAAAAATGATTTCCATAGCATGTTTTATGCACTTAATACATTTTTTGTGTTTTACTCATACCTCTTATAGCTGAACCAAATTTTCTTTGCATTTTTCGTAAAATATACAACAGTTCTCAATCTGGATTTGTGTGAATTAAATATTAACAATTATAACCATAAATTCAGATTTCTAATAGTTTCCCGAATGATCAGATATGTCTAGTCTTGTCCTGTTATTTATCTGTGGTTAAATATTTACTATCATATGCTTCACTTTCCAGCTATCAAGGTTCAATCCAGATGACCATGATGGAATCTACCATGATAAACCTATAAAATATAGTGTTCATGGGAAGCAAATAAGTTCGCATAAGGCAATCTCACTTCCATCATCTCCTCAACGTTTTGGCAATCAAGCTTCTCTTAGGGGTGAAGCAAGCGCAACATTTCCCAGTCCTGATATGATGTCAATATTCAATAAAGTGCTAGAATCATCAAAGATTCTGAAGAAGCCATTGTTACCTTTTCAAGAATGGAACATTGATTTTTCTGAAATAACCATTGGAACCCGTGTTGGAATCGGTATGTTCTCTTTATATTTATTTCTGATTAGCAAAGCCCAACTTACTGTGAACATTCCGTTCAGAATTTTTTTTATAGTCGGTGATTAATGAAGTCGGATAAATTTAATGCAACATTGCTAGAATGGGGGTTCTATCAATTGAAGTAATTATTATTTACTTTATCCCATTATCAGAAAACAATGTACATTTCCAACTGCGTTATTATATTCCCAGTTTGTTCCACTGTTGGTTGCTCGTATATGCTGACCCTCACCCCCTCCCCTCCCTGGCACGCATGCACACGCACGTGCGCACACTCACATGATGTCAAATCTGATTCTTTTGGGAAACAGAATACTTACTAATGATGGGCTAGAAATTATGAAGCTTTGTAGCTCTTTAGCTGATCAAAGAGCAGTGCAAAAGGCCTGTATAACCCCATTGGTGCACATGTTGGTTCAAACACTAAACACATAGTTCAAAATGAGAACAAAAAATTTGATTAGATATATTTTTCACAAAAAAATATAATCATCACAGCATAACCTGAGACTAACAATGTCCTAATATCCCTTTGGTTAGAGAATGTTGTGCGAATTAAACTCGTTTTTTATGTTAACGTTCTTGAAAACCTTTTCAAATAAACAAAGAAGTCATAATTATGAGTGGAAAGAGCAAGAATATCATTTTCTTGGCTGTGATATTTCTCAAGTAAGCCATTATCTTGATCCTGTCTCCAAGTATAGCATTATCTGCAAGACAATGCAATCCCCCTAAATGCATTTCCATAAACGTATTTGACACACTTTCTGGTCTTAAAATGAACAATGCCATTTGACATTGAATTTTGTTTTTTCATGCTACTTACCTCTTTAATTCTTTTCATCTGTTAAACTCAGTTTCCATTTTTCTCTTTTGTACTCTAGGATTCTTTGGGGAAGTTTTCTGTGGCAATTGGAATGGATTAGAAGTTGGAATCAAAGTGTTTCTGGAACAAGAGCTGACTGTTGAGAATGTTGAAGACTTTTGCAACGAAATATCTATCTTGAGGTAATTTATAATAGGAGTGCTGAAGTTATTAGCTTTTTGACTAAGAAATATTTTTTCATTGACAAACATCCCTCCATCCCCCAACAACAGGCATTAGAAGGGGAAACTAGCATAATATTTGTTACCTTACATTTCTTTTTTTCTTTTGCAGCCGTATCCGCCACCCTAATGGTAATGTCTTATCCCTAAATATTCCTGAAAATAGTTATATGTTATCACGTAGCATATTTACTTTTGGGGTTTCACTTCCTTTTTCTCTCTTGGAAAGTTGGTAAATGGTGAGAACATGCGTGACATTTTTCTATGCAGTTATTTTATTCCTTGGCGCTTGTACAAAGCCTCCTCGCTTGTCCCTGGTTACTGAATATATGGAGATGGGATCACTGTATTATCTGATCCATGCCAGTGGACTGAAAAAGAAACTTAGCTGGCAAAGGAGGCTTAAAATGCTTTGTGATATATGCAGGTTCACTCGGATATCATCCCTCTATCTGTTCTCCATTTCGTATTGACTCATGAATGCTCTTTTGCTTGATTTTATGGATTTCAAAGCATTTAAATTTGTCCTTTTCTCGTACCTAAAAAAGCGAAAAAATGATGATGAGGTGGTTGCATGATCATTAGATTCCCAAATCCAATGCACACAATCTGTTACATGGCTTTTGACGAGGTATGGGGCTTAGTTTGAATTTGGTTAATAAGAATGATGAATAAAATCTGTCAATCTCATGGCTGGATAAGATGCTAGGGCAATCACATCGAATCAGATGGGTAGGCGCTCTGTTTGACCCAAAAAATTCACTTCAAACCATGCAGTAATTAATTTGTTCTATTTCATATCGCACAATTTATATTTTTTGTCTAAGGAAATATTTATTTGGTCACTCAATTAACTAGAAGATGAGACTTTACTATATAAAGAATTATTTCCTCAAATGTGCTAGGCTCTAAATTTTTCTGGCTTGGCATTTCACTGATCTCACAAATTATGCATCTTGAGGCTATAACCTCTTAAGTAACTTATTGTGCCTTGAAAGAAAACTTCGTGGCCTTGAAGATTGAAACAAAGTCAAAATATCACATTTTGATTAATCTCATTGACAGTCTGGTATAATATTTTTCTGTTTCATTCCCTTTATATTTTAATCTCACTTGTCTCTGTTTATTAAGGGGACTGATGTGCTTACATCGAATGAAAATAGTACATCGTGATTTGAAGAGTGCAAACTGCCTCGTGAATAAGCATTGGACAGTGAAGATATGTGATTTTGGGCTGTCACGAGTACTGACAACCACCCCAATGATGGATTCTTCTTCTGCTGGAACTCCGGAATGGATGGCACCAGAACTTATTCGCAATGAACCCTTCACTGAGAAATGTGATATTTTCAGCCTTGGTGTCATAATATGGGAGCTATGCACACTCAAAAGGCCATGGGAAGGTGTACCATCTGTTCAAGTAAGTATTGTGCAACATTTCTATTTTTATTCAAAATGATAACAAGGATTATACACAAAAACAAAACCCAAAATAGATTTATTGACATTAATGCTGCATACGAGCAGGTAGTGTACGCTGTTGCCAATGATGGACAAAGGCTCGAAATTCCTGAAGGTCCACTGAGCAAGATAATTGCAGGTCAATTTTAATTAAACGTAATTTGTCGTGTTGTCCCACTTTAGAACTAGCATTTGATTCGTTTCTATTCCAGATTGCTGGGCAGAACCAGATGAACGTCCTACCTGCCAGGAAGTTCTCGCCCGCCTCCATGAGTGCGACTGCTCGCTGAGTTAATTTGGTTCTTTTCATTTGTGCAAACGCCATCATGGAAGCATTGAGAGTTCTTTCAAGGGATTTTTAAATAAATAAGCCTTATCTATGACTGGATAATGCTTCAGTTTCAATAAAAGACGTGAACTGGTGAAATAAAGTGTGCTTCCTTTTAACTATGCCATAGATGGTGTGATAGTATGGGGGATTGGCTTATACATTCCTCTTAGTATTTTCTTCGACTCTAGCGAACGTTTTACTTTGCTAGAGAAATTGGCTCTAAAAACTTATCAGTCAATTACTAGTTTAATCACTCATGCGTGCTTTTAGTAGAACAGACAAGTGCCAAACAAGAGAATGCTATTGCAAATCTCTGTATCAACCAAATACCTTTGGCTCGTGTTTATGAATATTTAAGGCATTTTTTATCTACACATTTCAAGGAATTCATAATTACTATACATTTATCTCCCTTTTATCTATAATATATTAAATATCACATCAAGTGAATATTTTTTGGACGATTTTAATCTTATTATAATTCAATTATTTTAATTATATATTACTTTTCGTTTTTCAATATGTATTTAATTTATTTAACATTGTAGTTACCATTAATGTACATGTACATTTGACATATTTATTTTTACCTGTGTGCTTTCATTAATGTATGATTTTTTTATTATTAATTCTCAATTAATTAAAATTAACATTCATTTAATTAATATTTATCTTCATTTATGCATTTCAGGTTATTAATTCTAATTATAAGTCAATTAGAATTTAACATACAAGAATGCTTTTTATCATTCACATTCACGTATGCTAATTGACATTCAATTTTACTTAATTAGAAATTAAATAAATGATTTAACATTCATTGTTATGTATATATTCCCTAGTGTTACTTCTAAATTAATTAATATTTATGCATATTTAAATATTACTTTTCTAGCATTTATAAAACATTTCATAATAACGTGTAAGGCACGTTCAACGTTAACTAGTTTATAATATAAGTCGTTTACAAACACTGAACATGTAAAGTGTGGGTTTGACGATCTTTAAACTCTTGATTTAATTCTTATAATTTGTAGTTCACGATCTCATCATCTACTAAACAAAAAGCTAAGAATAAATTAAAGTAAAAATTGCCAGCCCCCACCATGAAGACCCACGCTAACCAATACAGTAGCTTTTGATACTCTCTTGTTCCATATTTTTATTTAGCAGTGTATTATATACTTGTAACTTTTTATTGTATGGTATAATCTCTCTCTTTAACCTCTTAGAGGTGTTATAACTAACAGATTATAATCAAATATAAACATGTAGCTAAAGATTATACGACAAAGATAGCTCTTCATATGTGATTTTATGATTTAGATTGCGATCTTAACTTTAATTTTCTTTTTCAAAATTGTTGAACTTGAGACTTTTATATACTGTCAAAGTTGAAAAATTTAAGCCCTTGTTTGAATCTCATTTTTGGTGAAAAATGACTTTGTAGAAAACGTGTAATTAAAAAGTAGGAAAATTTTGGATTTACGTGCAAAATTATTTTGTTGAAAGCATATATGATTGAAAATGAATTGTAGAAAAAAAATGAGTTTTCATAGAATGAGGTTCAAACGGTGGCTAATTATCGATCACAGAGTGTTGGTAGGTCGAGTTAATGAGAGTACTTCCACTAAGAGAATCTGCAAGAGCAGGCAACAAGATCAGATGGGATTTCCAGATAAAAATTCAAAAGTTTATAGGGTATTTGATGATAAAGAGTGTCTGTAAAATTCTCTTTTTGTTTACTTCCTCTGCGTGATGATTGCCAATACCAGAAAACAGCTCCATATTCAAATATCTTCATCTCTCATCTCTTCAATAATTGAATCTATGCCTATCAAGTATCAACAGACAGCCCATGATCCCATCTCATCTATCATTTTCTTATAATCCTCTGCTTATAAACTTAATTAGTCACAATCTAATAAGTTAATCTTAGATTTTTATGCGAGTAAGTTTATCCAGAGGACCCCTCTCCCCTTCATCCTCACAAGTTGCCCACTAACTCTGCATCCCAGCCGTTAAATGTCTGGGCCCCTCTATTCAATCTGAACTTATATACCAAAGATTTACAAGGGCAAGAATCAAATAATTACAATAGGGAAATATACATCAGATCAGTACATATATATCTATGTATCTGTGTCAAATGGAACCATTTTCTATGTTCAGATCAGTACATATATATCTATTAGATGGAACCATTTTCTTTGTGTCATCATCTTGTTTTTAGAATTTCTTTATCTCAAGGTAGTGGGCTTAGGTTGAAGAGAACAAAGAAGGCACATATATCAGTCAAGAAAGTCCCAAATTCCAATTACCATCAAATTGTGAAGAAATTCAAGCGATCTTTCTTGATTATTGGAAATGAATATTATGGTATACTACCTACAAGGCACATGATCTTACTTGGGGATATTAAAAGATCACAAAACTCCTCTCAAAAGAAGGTTTATCTACAACCAGAACATGAAAAAAATTCCCATTTCACTCCTATTTCCTCTCCCTCCATCTAATACCAAGAACCCCACATTCCCCCGCCCCAAACGACGACACTACACCAATAGCCTTCGAGTTATGTTACATGTGCAGAATTTCTTTCACAGATTTTATACAGATACACAGTTGTCATTTTTCCATTGACAGTTAACAAAATAGGAAAAAAAAAAAAAAAAACTGTCAATCAAGTGCTGCCAACACAACACGTGTATAGATTTTGTGAAAAAAAAATTATGTACACGTAGTTTTTTTCCAATAGCCTTCTCACATACTCCAAATAAGCAGATTGAACCAGAGATTGACTAGTGTCAAAATTTGTTTGAACCACTTGGATGATTTTGCAATACCAATCATGGACAAACATGTGTCTCCATAATCGTCCAAACCAAATTATTGAACTTAGTGAAGGGAAAGGGTGCTAAGGAGGGATGGTGGAGGGAGGGTTGAATGATGGATCCAAAAGGCAAAAGTACAGAACAAGGTGAATTATTAATTCATGCCATATATTGAGTTCATCCCAAGCAAGTGACAAAGAGAATGCCCCCAAAAAATATCGGGAAAAATAGGAGGCCAAAAGGCATAAACTATCATCTATCAGAAAAGAAATAAAGAAAGATGGATAAATTATTTAAATAATAAAAAGAAAACAAAACAAAAGAAACTTCTTTTTATCTTTCTGCCTTATATTTCCACTTCCTTCCATTCCTTCCCCCCTCTCTCTCTCTCTCGCTCTCTCTCTCTCTCTCTCGAGCCATGAAAAATACCATTAGATGCTGCATATCTTGCATTCTTCCATGTGGAGCTCTCGACGTAATTCGAATAGTGCATACTAATGGCCATGTTGAAGAAATCAGTGGCACCATAAAGGCAAAAGAAATAATGAAATTACATCCAAAGCATGTTTTAAAGAAGCCCTCATCACCGTCTGATGAAGGGATGTGTTCAAAGATTAATGTTGTGGTTCCTCCTGATGCAATGCTTCAACGTGGGAAGATTTATTTCCTGATGCCTCTGCCTTCTCGATCCCATAAGACTCCATCAAGATCGTCTACAAGGAGAAAGAAGAAAGATTCTGAAAGCGAAGATATTCCAAAAAACAGTGATCTTTCTACGAAAAACCTACTGGTTTCCGATCAGTATTTAAGTGAGATTTTGTCAGAAAAGCTTTCAACACAGAGAGATCGACGGAGAGGGCGTGTTGGCGTGTGGAGACCTCACTTAGAGAGCATTTCAGAGACAACAAACGATGCTTAATGCCGAGTAATCTTTGTCCTTGTTATGTTTTCCTCAAGAGGGTTTTTAGAACTCAGTACTAAGCCTTCTCCTTTTTCTTGGTTCATTTTTCTTTTGTGTTTGTATATATTATTCTTAGAGTAATAACCCAAATTGTAACATAGGTAAAGTAATCATATATCGAATCGATTGAAAAAGAATTATGAATTATGGTGACAATGACTTCACTCTATGCTGCAAGAAAACATTACAGCTAGAGTTCAATCTTGAAAGTGGATCAGAAACAATTCATCAACTGTATATATAGCTTTGTGTTTTACTTTGACACCAATAAGTTTAAGGAGAGATTTTGAGGTTGATGATTAACATGTCAGCGCCCACAAATGGCACAATATCACGATTTTTCTTTGAGAGAGAAAAATCAGTTCCCATGTTTCCTGGTGGTGGCTCCCTCAACTCTCGGCACACAGGTAAACCTTAATTTAACACCTAAGAATTGAGATAAGAAATATTGAACTTTCAAAACGGCGTGATTTAATAAAATTTTAAGCTCGATTTAGATACAACGACTTATATTTTGATGATCAAAGTTATCAGGATGCTGATGAAATAATTGTCCCCAGTGCTTTGAAGCATAAAATAATGCACTTGAAGAAAGTGGGCAGTGTCTTTAACAAATTTGTTCTTTAAAAAAGATAATTTATACGATGCCATTAGCATCGTATAAAGGTGATTACAGCAAGTTAGAGCTTTTTGGGGTTACGGCGGATAAGCCCATATATTCAGGACCAGTTAAAAAGGTCACACAGTTGTTAGAATCTAACTGATTGGATCAATCAAAATGTCACGGCATTTAGCTTTTCAGTTCACTCATTTACCTCGGCCCTAGTCACACAGTCACATTCACGCACAATTAATAAAAAATTGATTGAGTAGACGAGTTGGTTTTTATAACTCTGTTATGTAAATTTATTTCCTCACTTCACGGTAGGAATGACAACGGTTCGATTCGGAATCGGTTCGATCAAAACCATAACCGCACCATCAAATTTTTGGTCATACCATAACTGCACCATAACCAGGTAAGTCGGTTCGATTCGATTCGGTTCAGTTCGTATCTCGATTCGACTCAGTTCGATTCGATTAATAACCACGAAAATAAATTATTTTTTATAAGTCCAAACTCCAAATGTCAAAGTGATAAAAAAAATTACGAAGAAAAGTAAAAAAAAACAAAAAACAATACTAAGCCAATTTAGCAAACAATATCCCAAATGAAAATGCAAACAATATCTCAACTTCCAAATACAGAATTCGAATTTAACAAACAACATTATCAACATAGGTCAAGACTCTTACTAGCATATGCCAATCTTCATTCTTCCCCACAACTCTTACTAGCATGGTCAAGAGTTAAGGCTCAAAGTTGATTCATATATAGTAAATAAAAAATATAATTAGAGTTATAATATAACCATACTACCTAATCAAGAATGATCTTAATTGGAGATTTAAACAAAAAAAGTACATCTTCATCAATCACATAAATAATATTGTTAATTAAATTGCTTGATTCTGCACGATTCGCTTGATTTTGCACGATTTCGTTTTTACAATGGTCTGTTTTTCGCTAGCAGAGACACTTGCACCGAGTTCCTGAAATAAGAATTTGATGCACAAAATTATTTACCAAACTTAAGGCACAGTACAAGCACTCAAGAAACATGAAACTATACTATACCCGAAACTGGCGAGGGCAGCGGCGGATTTGAGTGGAGGAGAAGTGTAGTATAGAGACTGTAAACCTGGGTTTTAATTTAACGGATAGGGTATATTGAAATTGGGCTACCTAGGCAGTGGGCTGGGTTATAGGGTTAAGGTTTACTTAATGTTAATTGGGCGGAAGCTCAATTGTCAAAATTGCCCAATTAGTTTTGAGAAAGAAAAATGGAAAGCCCAGTTGTCCAAGATTTTTTTTTAACGGGTAATCGGTTAGGGGCGGGGCACCATCGCTAAATACCATACCCGCCCCTAAATGAAGCGGTTCATTAAAATCAAAACCATAACCGTCCCATTGCACCATTGGTTCTATTTTTTCGCCCTATTCAGTTCTGTTAACCGAGGTTTTCGATCTTAACAGTTCGAATTGTCATCCCTATTTCACGATGATCACGATGGTTTAACAATTATTAATTATTCTAGACACTTCGAGAAGATCACAAACAAGTTATTCCATCGTTCTAAAGATATATTTGCTTTCATTTTTCCTTTATCTAAATTATAAGTCACTTTCCTTATTGAGGGTAATATGAATTACTCATATTTAAATCATTATTTAGCCCTTGTTTGATAGAGAATAAAATCAGATATTTAGTAAATTTTGATAGAAGTTGATGAAATATATAGTTGAAAAGTTGTGGGACTCATAAAATATAGGGATAATTGCAGCAACGGTACCAAACATTTCATTTAGTTGCAAAATTTCCCTAAACATTTAATTTGCGCTACCGACAATATCAAACATTTCATCCGTGCCACCCATGGACCAAACCTTTTCAAAATGTCGTAGTTGAAGTCTAAATGGATGGTTTCTGTTAATTTGACAGTTAGTTGGTCAAATAATTGATTTTGACAATAAGTTTGATTAATTTTAAAATGTTAAAATGGTAACTTTACATTTTTTTATAATAAAATAACTAAAATCAAATAATTAAAATTAAAAACCAAAAAATCAACTTTATCTTCTCCATCCGCCCCCACACATATCCACCCCCACCCCAAAACCATCACCACCACTACCATCTTCTCCACCGCAACCACTATCATCTCCTCTACCGTAATCAATAACTACATATCTACTCACCACCAACCAGCGAACGAATTTTACTTTCTAAGATCAATTTTACAAATTAAAGGTAGTTTTCCGCACAAATAGCGACCATGGGCTTGGTTGGTATTGACTTTACTTTTCTGTACTGTATTGTGAGCAATGAACAAAACCTATAAAGATGAAGAAAATGACTAGTCCTCCTTGCTTGATTCCTTTTACCGTGAAGAAGAAAAATGGGGAGAACTTGAATAAGTGAGTGAAAAATTCAACTTTAATGGTGGAAATCTGTCCCATTTTCCTAATCTGTGAACATAACAAGATTTGTTTTCGGAAGATGAAGATCCAAACTTTCTTTTCTGCAAAGAAAATGACGCATTTGTCAATGGAACATGTTCTTCTTTTTCTACAGGCAGGCACAGATGCAGTGGAATGGATCTTGAAAGTCAAAAATTTTTATGGGGTTTCAGCGTTTAGTGCCTTGCTTGCAGTAAATTATCTTAACAAGTTTCTTTGCAGCATCCATTTTCAGAAAGAGAAGCCATAGACGATCCAACTTGTAGCAATGGTGGTGATGGTTTTGGGGTAGGTGTGGGTATGTGTGGGGTGGATGGAGAAAATGAAGTTAATTTTTTGGTTTTTAATTTTAATTATTTGATTTTAGTTATTTTATTATAAGAAATGTAAAGTTGCCATTTTAACCTTTTAAATTTAGTCAAAATTATTGTCAAAATCAATTATTTGGTCAACTAACTGTCAAACTAACAGAAACCATCAATTTGGACTTCAATTGCAATATTTTGAAAATGTTTGGTTCCGTAGGTGATACAAATGAAATGTTTGGTACTGTGGGTGACACAAATTAAAGGTTTGAGCAAAGTTTGAAACTAAATTAAAGGTTTGGTACCGCTACTGCAATTATCCCTAAAATATATTGTTAAATTAATTGTTGACTTTGACTTAAATTTTAATCAAGAACAAACATGGGGCTTAACGTAGGGATATATTATGAGAAATGTAAGAAAAATTTATGTTTCGAACTATATTAATTACAATTTTATTAACAATAAAAAAATGAAAATAAGTCTATCTTCGTGGAACGGATGGAATAAACAGTTACAATATCAAGACTGGTAGATTTTCAAAGAATACCTTGCAATTCTATGCTATGACTTCAATTTTATATAGTCAACACTTGATATTCCAATACCACTTTTGTGGTCTTCCAAAGTTTGTGTAGATATTTCCCAACTAATTGGAGATTGAAAATTAGTTTTAACCCTTTTAATATTTGTAATTTTCAATTGCTTCTCGAATTTCTCGAACTTGTCACTGGCTTTGTCGGAATGTCTATGGGTTGATCGACGGTTGCAAATTTCTCCTTAATTTACTAAATCTCGAATGAAGTGATGATGGAGCTCCATATGTTCGAACTTGGAATAGACGATTAGATTCTTGGTCATTGCTATTGCGGATGTGTTATAATTGGACATTTTTCGGCTATTGCTGCTCAAACTTCAAATCTTTTAGAACTATTCTTCATATTGCCACAAAAGATGCGTTTATGGCATCAAAGTATTCTGGTTATGCTAAAGATAATGCCAGGACTTGTGCTTCTTCAAGCTCCATGAGACAACATTTGATTTTAAACCTAGAAATCTTCGAAGTGTTTGGAGACCATCTTTTGTGATCATTAGGAGAAGTCACCATTTTCTTCGGGAAAAAATGATTTGCAGCTTCAGAATGAGTTATGAATGGTTCTTATCGAAAAAATTCAAGAAGTGATTCCACACAATGACGTCAATATTAACGAGGTAGTTTTATTCGTTTTAAGTCCATCGGTGTATGTAAATCCTTTATAACTTAGTGGATTATTTAATAGCAGGGCGTGGCTCGTTGATGTTGGTAGTTGTTGAACTACGCCAATTTGTCTCTTTAATTATCTAAGCTGATTACTTATTTGATAGTTAATAAAAAGGGATTTAACAGTAATGATCCTATCATTTTACCAATTCACATCAAGATGCCTGGCAGATCCAAGAAGAGGAGTCCCAGAAGAGGCACCCAACTAATCCAAAAATAGAGGGAGGCATGGAATGCACATGACTTATTAGTCATGTAGAAAAGTTGGTCACAACAAAAGGTGTTAAAACTTTACGAAACTTTAAACTTTATATTTTATAAAATTAGAAAA